TAGTAATAACTGCTTCTTCGGTTTGTATTTATTATTTATTTTTAAGAAACAATGACAAAAAATGGTGCCTCATAGGTATTGAAAATACCATGGAAAATTTTGCTAAGGTTTGCATTTCTGTGATGAAATTTGTGAGCACAGCTGACTACAATTCATATGTTTTAATCCAGAACTGCTGAACAATGTAGCTGCTAGTCTATAACCATGTTCATCTCTAGAGGTGGCACAGCACCTGTGCCAGGGGCATTTGAAATATATCCCCCTTCTCTTCACACACAACCACAGACCATCCCCTAAGCTCCCTAAAGAAAAATAGTACCACATCTCCTAATAGTTTCAAGTGACAGGCAAATTGGAAATCTATGATGCTTTTATTACAGAATATTGCATGGCTTGAAACTTGGAAGTACAAGTCTGTTTTTCTCCTGACTCTTATTCTGCTGGATGATTTACACCTATGCAAAGGGGTTTGCTGACAGATCAGAATTAGAGCTCCTATTTTACTCTGTTGTAAACGATTCGTCAACATGCACAATCAGGTCCTAAAGAAGAAAGGGAAAAAAAAAAAAAAAGTTGTGAGTTTCAGTTTGGAGCCAGAACAAGTAGAGTTAGCCTTTCTTCCTTTGGTGACTGCAATGATACAGTAAAGATACTTTAGGGCTTGGTGAAATAACCTTTCCTCCTAGATCACTTTTCTGATTTGTTTACATCTGCAATAAATACTGATAGGTGAGAGATTCCCACTGCGTTCATCATGCAGAAGCAGAGCCAGCAGCCCTAGGGGATGAGCTGTGGGGCTGTCTGTGGGCAGTAAATTATAGCTGTCCAATCCAGCATAAGTTTCCATCCTACAGATAAGAGATTGTTAATACAACTGTTGAACACATCAGCCTGGATCATCCATTTCTGGAAATACCCTTAGCTCTGCTGTAGGAGCCACCCAGACGTGGTGGGTGACTGCTGAAGGGTGGACTTCTCTGCAGCACCTTTAGAGGTGCCTCTCTCCACGGACCATGAAGGACATCCGCTGGCTTGGCTCTGAAGTTAAGCATCTTAAATGGGGTGGAGAAAGGGGATTAGGAACCTCAGGGACCAAGTACCCCTTGCTATTCCGTGGCTGTCCCTGTGACCAATGCGTAAAGTTTTATTTCCATGTATTTATAGTTTGCTGAGGGCTACCATCACTCCCACAGACATCAGGCCTTCACAAAACACAGCTCTGAGACAGAGAAGAGATTGGATAAAGTCTTATGTTATGAACAATTTCCTTATGCATATCTGATGCACCCGTATGTATTTATGTCTCCAACAACAATGGGATATATGTAAATATATCAATACACAACCTATTTCCGTTTAAGCCACAGATCATGAAGCTCAGTTCTCTGCTCCGCATACTATAATTTTTACCTATTTTTGTACAAGAAAACTGCAGTAAGCATAACAGCAGTGTGCAAAAGACATGTATACGGTTTAAATTATGCCAAGCTACCTGGCTTAACCGTAGCCAAACCTGCTTGACCACTCAGCTCTTAAATGCATAAAACAATTCCGTTGATACGCCGTTGCACTGTGCCAATGGGGATGCTAAATCTAACAATGTTTAAGCCAGTACAGTAATGATATCTTTGATCTGTAGCTGAAAAACTTACTGCTCTTATGTTAAAGATCAGATGAAAGTAAAATAAGCCATATCCTGTATTACAAATGAAATGCCTTTCTCCTGCTGGAACGAGAAAACAAAGCTCTTTGGGGTTATTGTGACTGGCAACAGGCATGGTGAGGCAGAGAGTCTTTCCATTGTTAGTCTTTGCTGTTGCGTTTGGGGTCTGATTATTTTTTATTGACTTGGTCATTCACCAAGTGTCTCAAAGAAATAGTGCAAACAGTAGTTAAGCTCCTTCATTCTGTCCCAGTGGAGAAGGGAAGCAGCCATCATCACATCTGCCTGTTTGCTGTGCTCATTTTAAAACTGGATAAATAAATTAGAGATACGATCATTCAAAGAACAAACTGTAAGCAGCTGTGTGTTGGGGATTATGGATTCAGTGGACTATACTTCTCTGGTAAAAAAAAAAAAATAGCATCCATAGGAAACTCTAAGGCAACAGTGTGGCATCTCTTGTATTATTTAGTGCATTGACTTTGCAATCCTTGTGCATACAGAAATACACAGCAAGAGATGTTATTCTTCCTAAGATATGCCCTTTTTGTTTTTACTCTTAGAATGCTTATTTTCAGAGTAGCGCTGTAGACAGATAAGTCTTTTTCAACATTTATATTTTAAGTACTCAGTATCTCCACAGACTGAGTATTTAAATTACTATTGTGTGGAGGACTTTTTCAGAAGCAAATTTTATTCATCAGAGACACCCCTTTAATTAACTCCCACACTTCCATGGGGAGAGGAATATAAAGAAAGCTAATTAATAATAATAATTGTAATAATAATAATAATAATAATAATAATAATAATAATAATAATAATAATAATAATAATAATAATAATAATAATAATAATAATAACAATAATAGTGATATATCTTGTTACCAATACATATTAAAATAAAATGCTGCAGGGAGTGGAGTTTCAAGGCCTCTTTTTTAATGAAGATCTTAATGGCATTTAATGTAAATTAAATATAATCACTGTCTGATTCCTAGGCATATCTCTGAGGCTGAAGAATAAGAAGTTAATTGTGCTGGCAATATAGTGGGAAGTGCCAAAATCAAGCACCAGCATGTTGGTTAAAATGCATTTTGAATTAGGAGGTAGAAAGCAGTACTTTGATTTTTTTGTACTCCCGCTCCCAGTTATTTTGCAGCAGTTCAGTGCAAAGTTTGTGCACGGTGTGGATTTATTACATAAGATATCTAACATAAAATTTGCATTAGAATGCAAATGAAGGAGACTTTATTTAACTTTAGAGATTGGGAAGGATCAGATGCATGAGCCTAACAAGCCATTTTACTTTGGGGATGGGGAATTGCTGGTATGTAAATCCCTGACTTGTTCTGTGGGCCGATAATTTAATAAGGTCTGCAAAATGACTGGACGTCAACTCCAGCATCTTGCATTGCATTAAGATGAATTAGTTGTGGAAGTGTGGAAGTCTCAGTTTTGAAACTGCTGTTTATGGAATTCGTGCACTTGGTGGCAAGATTTACTTGATTAAAATACTGGGGATCGAGCTAACTGTGTACTCCTCAAGGTAGGCGATGTGACAAGATTCAATTCCCAGCTTCCTCTCTTGCGATGACAGTGTGAAATACCTGTCTGTGGTAGATATTACCTCTTCCATCTCAAATTAAGAGTGATGAAATTAGTCAGCTGGTGCAGTGGGTCCTGGGATCATAAATAAATGAAATGCATTTTGATGAATGAATACAGCTATGATGTCTTAATTTACCGAAGGAAATCTGAGAATAACTAGTTATTTGATCCAGTCTTGTCTTTATATGAGATTATTTTACTTTCCTGTGTGGTGCCAAAGGACTCCATGCCTTCTCTGTACTTGTTCAATCCTTAACACACATCTGAATTACTGTTCTGCAGCTAAGAAATGTATCTTCATGGTACACTAAGATTTCACTTGTATACCTGGTAAGCATAATGCATAAAATTAGTGTACTTTTATCCTAGACAGCTTTCCCACCTGAGCTGTCTGCACACAGATCTTACTTAACTGGAAAAATCCTGCCAAACTTTGCTATAGGGGTGAATATCACAATTCATGGTGCCTATGTCCATCTCCCCTGACTACATGGAAATGACAGTCAGTGGAGTGTTTCTTGAGAAGTCTCGATTTATTTGTAGTTATTGTTGTGTTGGGTAGACTGTTTGGGGCTGGCCTCGTTTCTCAAAGGAAGTGCTGAAAGAGTTGATGTAAGTCATGAAAGAGCTGGTCTCTGTCAGTACTGACAGAGAAGCAGGAAGGAGCTGAAAAGCCGAGATGGGTGTTCAGGACAGAGGGGCCATAAATAGTCATCTTTATATTTTTTAATCAAAGAACTTCCATCCACTCCACATCCCACCCACCCTGGAAAACAAGCATTGACAAATGAGTCTTCTCAATACAACCATGGCTCAAATATGTCCTCTAAGGGAGGAAAAAGATCATTTTATCCAGGTTTTTCTTGAGTCTTTCTGGAGTTTTTGACTGAAGCATTATGGAAAACCACCCCTTTCTGACTAAAAAGATGTGATGTGCTCCCTGGGGAAGCTTAGAGGCTGAAAATGCCCTGTTGACCTTGTAAAGCTTGAGAACTACGGTACTGAGCTAATAAATACCTTTGGGCAGCATTTATGTCTCTTCCCCCTATTTTATGTGGTCCTGAACAGCAAAGCCAGAAATCAGTACTTATAAGAAAAAAAATGTACTGGAATTTGGGGTGTAAAAGAGAGGGACAAGCATGACTGGAGAGAGGACTGGTTTGGCTCTTGCCTGGCTGTTTCAGTGCTTCTAAAGCAGCACTGCACCTTCGTGTTCACAATACTTTCCTGGAGATACTGTGCCATTAGTATGTAGATGATCATGGTAAGTAAATCTTTCCTGCTCAATTTCTGTCTCTTCAATGAAATTTCTCTTCTGAGTACAAAATTTTCCTGGGCAAGCCATTGGGTAGCTCCCCAGTCCCATCTCTTTTTGCTACACAATCCTTCTTTTATCAATTTTAGTTGCAATACCCACCATCTGTGGAGGCCTCGTTACCTGTCCGGTCCCTATTTTCACCTTATCATCCCCCACTGACTTTGCAGGTCCACAACGAGTCTTTGGGCTGATCACAGAAAGAAAATTTTGGGCAGCTCCTTGCTGCTATTTCCTATAGCCTTCTGGCTGCCACTGCTGGTCAAGACCCTGGACTCACGTAGTCACACTGTGGCTCCATGTGCTATGTGTTGTGTTGTCTCAATTGCTCTGAAGCCTGATAGATTTTGTAAGTGTCTCATTACGCAATTAATTTCAATTGCAATTCCCATCATCTCTTCTCTTCTGCAGGCATGCAACCCAGCAGGAGACTAATAAAACCATCACGACTAGCACCAAAGCCATCAAGCAGCTGTCTGAGGTTGTCAGAGGTTCATCCAGGGTACGTGTCATTTGAGATGCTGTTGGGAGAAAGTGATGGGTCTTACGGAGTGACGAATAATGAAAAAATAAGTGGTGGTGGGTGCTTTAAAGCTGTTGAGCTCCATGTCTTGTTACAACTTTCTTTCCTGTTATGCAATAAGAATAGCTTGCATTTATAAATGACCAGTGGGAAAACAGCTGCAGAAACCAGTCCTTCTCCTCAAAGTGGATCATGTGGAATAGGAACTAAAGAATGCAGAAACAAAGCCTTGGCTAGCTCACACCCATCTCAGGGTCTCACCCTATTTGGGTGAAAGTGCTACAGAAATCATCTGGCTCCACGTGAATTTGGCATTGGTCAAAGTCTCAGCTGTGCAGTAGGTGCACTGGGCGCAGATGAGTTTGGAAGTGTGTTGAAGTGACGGGAAAGGGCAACACAGTGGAATATGGCTGGATGTGATATTCATTCGGTGCTGTGTGTTAATGTGAAGGCAGTGGTGGGGATAGATAACTACAGACTGTGGCCACATTAGAGCAGGACTTTGAATTACAATTTAGCTCACAGCAACCCCATCTACTGTACAGACAGACTGGTCATCAGTAGGTTCAACGCATATGAACACGGTTGTCACAGGGTTATGAATGATCCCCATCCCCTGGTCTCCTGTGAAAAAATTGGACAAACAGAAGGTTTCTGCCCCAAACACAAAGACCTTTATACCCCATATGTTCCTGCTGACTTTGGCCTATGGTATGCATCGTGGAGAGCAGCACATGCTGTGGGGGGCAAACCCCAGTTGGTGTGAGAGTTGAGGAGAAGTTTCACCCACATAACAGGTGATTCAGCAACTGAAATGAGAATAAGGACAATTCTTTTCTATTTGATTCTGCCTAGAAGTTTTCTATTATGTTCCTGCTCCTAGCATCCATATAATTTCTAGGTCAGGAACCTACCTGAATTGGTCTTTTATCCTCACTCACTTCCTGCCATTTTCCGAAGTCCTCTATTACTTCAATTCTGTTCTCACTGTACTTCCACCTAGGAAAAAAAAAAAACTGCCTTAAACGTACAACTCATCTCTGTCCAAGTGTTTTTTACAGCCTGGATTTATGTCACTTGCCAACAGGAATATGAGAGAAGGATTTAAGAGCTGAATCACCAAAGGCTACCTTTGCAACCTGTGGAGGACTATGTGTAATTCAACCCACCTAAAAAAATGAATGGGTGATGGTCTAGTCCAGAGGATGGGGAGGGAATCCTGGAATGAAAGTTCTTCATTAGGTGGACATCGATCTTATGCAGGCACCAACCTTAATACTTTGATCTTTTTTAACATGTTGGTTTGATTAGTGATGGACTACGAGGACTATTTTTTTTATTTTTCTTGCATACTCTGAGAATAATTACATCAGAGCTTGATGAAATAGAAGATGCTTTCTTGGAGATATGGGAATCTGGGCTTTTTTTGCGCTGATCTCCTGGCTCCATTCTGTGACATAAATTGGGTCCAAAGGGGAATCAGACAAGGTCACATTAAATACAATTATAGTGCCACATAACACAAGAATGTCATTATTTGCCCTTGAAGCCCATGTAGTGTCCATGGGGACTCTCAGGAGAATAGGTTTTACTGTCAATGGGGAGAAAAATTGCTAAAATAAAGGGAGAATATTTAAGAGCAGAAGAAAATAGACACACAATTATAGTAATATGAGGAATAAACTTGCTGTTCTCTGTTGGCATCACATAATAACTTTTTCTGCTCCCTGGTCAATTAATTTAACAGATTTTATTTTTTTAACTCTTCTTTTCTAACAGTGTGCAGTTTAAGTAATTAAACCTACAAATTTTGATATAAAGCCTGTAGCCCTTGTCCCATATATAGAAAAAATAGTTCTGTTGGGAATTGGCTGCTGGACGGTAAGTCCCTCTTGGGGATCTGGGAAGAACTGAAAACTTTTCTCACATAAAATTTCTCACAGCATGAAAAGCCTTCCATTAATTTAGTGCTTTATAGTCAGTCCTTTCTGATCCATTATTCTGTGTATTGCTCTGCATTCACACATGGAAAAACATTTTTTTTTAATTTCTTCCTTATTTTCCACCAGTAACGAACTGCCAACAAGGTGCACTATGGGAGTTTCTCTGACTTCCCTTGAAACTCCAAGTGTTGCTGGAGCTACTGGAGTCAGGATGCCAACTGAGCACATTGATAGTATTTCAGGAGCAAAGACACTGGTGTAAGTAAATCAGTGTGATACAAGGCAGGAGACTGATATAAAATAGCACATGGCTTCCTTTCACATTAACCTCAAAGGACTGGGGAGGTTTGGATTGGATATTAGGAAAAATTTATTCACTGAAAGGATTGTCAAGGACTGGAACAGGCTGCCCAGGGAAGTGGTTGAGTCACCATCACTGGAGGTATTTAAAAGACATGTAGATGTGACACATAAAGACGTGGTTTAGTGGTGGATTTGGCAGTGCTATGCTAATGGTTGGACTTGATGATCTTAAGGGTCTTTTCCAACCTAAATGATTCTATGGTTCTATGATTCCATGACTTAGAGAAGCCTATCTGGAATTCCAGGTTTTTACAGGACGAGTGCTGGACCATTAGATCAGCTCTCCAGAGTGACAATCTTATTTTGCATGTGTAACAAACATAAGGTTTATAGGCTTTTATCTGTAGAATGAGAATAACGATACTTGCCCTGTTTTAAAAATGGTTTCAAATCTTTGGATGAAGAACTGAAAGACTGGGATATTCTTCTGTGTATGAAAATACCATGATTAAAATTAAAATATGTTTATCCCATCCTTTATAACATTTATTTTTTTTTATTCTTAAGCAGTTGACTGAAACAGCTGAAATTGCTATAAAGTGAATATTTCTTTTTAGTAGCTTCAGTGTGGATTGGGTTTTGTCTGCTAGTTTGTTTTTAAGGTGATGTCCTGCTTCCTTGCAGTTTATTCCCCTCCGTAAAACCCGAACACGTGAACCCCTGCACACCTGAAATCTGAGATTCAGGGGGTAGAATAATTCCAGGAGAATTTCCATTGCCTGACACTGGTTTATTTTGCTCACTCCATCTGAGAGCAGTGATTTTGCAATGTGTTGGATAGTTATGTCAGGCTAGACTGGGGTCTTCCTTTTCAGAACAGTTTTGCTTAAAACAGATCAGTATCTTGCTTGGGCAAGCTCCAGACAAAAAGGCAGTGACATTTGGGTACATGTTTTGGAAAACATGAAGATAAGTTGGTTTTTGAAAATCAGACCCTAGGCCGGGCAGAAGGAAGGTTGTGGCTGATGGACCTCTCGAGTCTAGTAAATCACCCATTACCATCAAATGAGGTGCTGAACTCCGTCACGGGGTATCATCCAAATACAGGACTTTTTATCAGAGGATCCCTTGGGTTGTCATCTCCAACAGTTAATCTGAGGCTGGATTTTAGTGAGTAGAAGCAGTATATCATGCTACAACCATTCTGTTCTTTTGATGACGGTAAGGTATTGATTTGCTTGTGTTTCACAGTCTTTAAGAACTGGAGTGAGACCCCCCTTCATGCAGTAAGCAGGACAGCAAATGTCCCACTACATAGCCCTGCCACAGAAAGTGTCTGGCTCAAATAGCAAATCACACAGTAGTCATTACTTGAGTGCTATCTTGAATATCCAAGGTTACATTTTTTTAATTGCTTTCACTTGAAAGATCAAAGCATCTTGTGCTCCCTTCCTAAAATAAAACCTCATAGCATCCTGGCAGCCCCAATGAAATTGAATTTTTAGAATACTATTTGTGCCTGCTTTGTTTACTTGGTGTCTCCCACCAGCACTGTTTCCCATGGTCACAGACAGAGTCTACTGTTTGATTTATCTCTACAGATCTGCTAACCAGGTTTCTGTTTTTCCAAAGCAGACAGTCTACTACTTGATTTATCTCTACAGATCTGCTAACCAGGCCTCTCTTTTTCCAAAACAGCAAGAGCGACTTCAGCTGGACAGGCTGAAGAACCAGTTGTCTGATGCCATCCAGAGATATGGAGCTGTGCAGAAGGTAAGAGTCTCTCTTGCTTCCAGTCTTGCGTGTGTGAGTTTGGGAATATGGTAGGTGTGAGCAAGTGTGGCTCCCAGGAGCATGGAGCATCTCCGCAGAGCTGCTCATGTGTAGTTTCCTTTCGCTTTTCTTACATTATCAGTGAAGGAGAGTATCGTTACATTGGATTGTGCACACGCATGTTACTGCAGAAAAATTCAGCAGTAATGGAAAAGCAAAAAAGTGTGCTTTTGCCAGCTGTGTATCTGGTAGGACCTTCAGTGGTACCCCTGGCTTAGCCATGGCATTATTTTGGCATGTCTCCACTGTCAGAGGAGATGAAGTGATGGCACAGTGCCCCTTTCACCTTTTCTGCTTACAGAAAACGTGCAGGCAACAGTTCTAATTTAAATGTTAACTCACTTTATGGCTCTGCTGTGTTATTTGGCTTTGCCAGATGATTTCCAAACACATCTTGTGGGTTAGACCTGTCACCAAGATCAAGCTGTTTAATAAAACAAACAAAACCTGAACTCCAGCTCCTTCATTTGCTTCTTGCTCTCCCACTTTACCCTGGGGAGGCTCTCCTGATGAGCAGACTTGCTTTGCTTTTAAACATTGTAGTAATGATTTAAATTTACCATCCTCAAACTGCTTCTCTTCCCTGCAGTAACAAGTTTGTACATATATCTGGATTAATTGAAATACAGCCTGGACAAACTCTGGTTGTCTTCTCATACTACTTTAGTGAGTTTGACCCATGCCTGCAACACATGGGAAGAATATATTCTAATTATACAGGTGTAATGAAATTTGTCTGGCAACCTGCACTTAATGTATCTCTATTAGAAATATTCTGTACTGATTATTTCCCAACACTTGCTGCCTAGGGTTTAAAAATAAATAAATAATTAAATAAAAGCACATAAAATTGCACTTCAGTGGCTTGTATATTATGTAATAGCATTGCATTATCTCTAGTGCTATCTTGTATTTTTAATTATTTCTCTGTCTATTCAAAATCCTAAGTGTGGTGTCTTTAAATGAAATCAGTTTATCCCTTAAGTGAGAAGTTGGAAGGATTCAGGTAAAGGGCTCCACCCCCATATGCACACACCTTTATGTTTTTTTTTTTTTTTTAAGTTCATGAGTATAATCCATCTGAACTGTACAGGTAGGTTTGGTTTTGGTTTTGGTTTTGTTTTTTTTTTAAAAAAAAAAAACAAACTGTCATCAGTTCAGAAGTGCCAGAATTAGCCACTGCAGTTTGTGAATGCCCAGTTGCGTCAGGAAACCAATCTGAGTGGTAAATTGCTACTTATCCACGTTCTAGCTGTCATTTCTCAAATGCATGTTTCAGTTTTGATAACCTTGTCATTCTGGAAGCTTTGAAGACTTTTAATTCCCGCAAAACCAAACTTTTCTATATGATTTTACTCCCTTTCTTTTTCTATATAATAATATTTTTTTCTATGTCCTTTTCTTTGAAAAGCAGAAGGAATAGCTTCATGTGATTCCTTCCCTACATATTTGGACTCTGTTTTCTCAGCCATTCTCCCTGTTTTATTTTTCTGTTTTTACAGAAAATAGCAGAGAAATCTAAAGCTTTGCTTCCTACTGGGCAGAGAAGTACCAAACAGGTAAGTTCGTGTGTGTCTCTGTGTTTGACAGTAAGTACCTTGCTAAAAAAGGGCTGTTTTCTAATGCTACTAATGATGCTGAAGAGCGTGGTGCTCCCCCACTACCTACATCGAAGCCAGTGAAGTGGTTTTCAAATAGAGATGTATGACATCTCTGGAGGCGGAAGATACAAGACCCAGGGAAAAAGGCATGTGTAAGACCAGTTTAATTATTCTCTGCTTTTCTGTTCTCATGGGGCTGTTTATCCATTCTTGATGGGAGTTTTGTCTACTCTGAAATATATCAGAGAGCTGTCCTGTACCCCCTTCCCTGGGAGCTGGGCTCGTAGGCAGTCACACTCCAAGTGCAATTTCATAGAATGAAATGAGAGGAGGGTTTTTTTGGGGCATTTTAGGCATATTAGAAACTTTGTCAATGAATAAATACTATGTGTAATCAGAGTAGATACATGATAGTTTTGTGCATAAATTTAGTTTCATATATACATGCGTGTGTATATATAAAATATAATTAAATGTCTGTGTGACTGTGCACCTATGTGACGTGATTATGAGTGTAAAGATATGTATGTGTATATATTTATATATGCATATCTGTGTAGTCTTTCACAAATCGTAATGCAAATTACTGTATATGTAAATAGCAATACAAAATATTATATATGTAATGTGTGTGTGTGTGTGTATAAGAAATCTCCACAGATTTCAAGGAGAGGTTTGATGCCAGGAGATCAGTGAGCTGCAGTATGAGTCCAGCAGAGTTCAGGTTGGCCTTTCAAGTCCTACACACTAAAAAGCTTTGAGGTATTTGCAACTGATACCATACCACCAAAAAGCGGAACTCTATGCCTAATTTCACTGATTACTTCTGATATTCTTGGCACTCTTGTCTCTTCTTTCAAGGGGCAGTCAGCAGATTTTCTGCTTTCCTAATGAATCCTCATTCCCGGCCTTATTGTGCCACCCGGTTTTCAATATCATCTCTAACACATATATAAGAAAGAGTTGTTCTTTGTAACATTAATATCTCTGTAAAGAAGGGCACAATGATGCCACCACAAACCTCACCATTAGGACAAGCCAATGGACCAAAGATTTAATATTAGCGAGGTTTTAAGCAATTACAATTCTGCACCAGAACTTCTTGTCACTTAGTTGGTTTCAGGTGGTAGTGCCAATGAAACTAAGGTCTTTGTGTGACAAAGGACTAATGTATTCCGTTATCCTTACTGAGAGTTCCCACTGCCACCTTTGGAGTAATTGTGCACAGATGTTGCTTTTCAGCTATGCATTTATAGAAATGTTACAGCTTATTTTTGTCCACCAACTGGTGATCTGTATTGAACATGGGTATCGTGCTAGTAGGATGAAGAGGGATAATTACTGCATAGCTGTTGTGCATCCTGTGTATCCCTGCACCTGGAGTGAGCTTGGATGCAATCAACTTTTTTGGTATATTGAAAATGGTTGATGACTCCAAAAACAAACTTCTCTAGAAGTGAGAGAGTTTTAATAGGGGAAAAAAATGAGTTGTCAGACAAAACTACTCAAATTTTGGAGGCAGGTGATGGTGGGGTTGGAAGTAAAGAGAGGCTGGAGGAAAAACGGGCTGGAGACAAGCCCCTTTGCCTGAAAACAGGTGAGAATCCAACCATTAGGAGACTGTGACAGTAAAAATTTTGTCAGGCAGCATCAGCAAAAATTGTGTTAAACTGGATCAGCTGCAGATTGTTTCTCCTTGTAGCTGTGACTTGCAAGTGAATGCTGATGGTTGGCTTTGGTGCATTATGAAAAAAAAAAGAAGGTTGTAGTATGCCCTTGGTGAGATACTTCTGACTCAGAAATAGGCCTAAAAGTACATGCTTTTCATGCAGTGACTCTTGCTTGGGCTGGGGACACAGGAGGTTTCATGCAAACTGCTTGAAAAAAAATGAAAGTTAATTAACATCTGTTTCAGCTTTCCTATACGTTTGCAGTTTCACATACATCTTCTTTTCTTCCTCCTTCAAGTACAAAAAGAGAGAAATTAAATGTACAAAGCCTGCTGAAGGGAATGCAGTGGTGTGATTGTTTGTTACTTATTATTATTTTTCCAGCTGCAGATTGGTCAAAACGTGCAAAGTTATAGTTCCCACAGCAACTGTAACCTGACCACTATGTGTATATATTAAGGAATTAAAGTTAACACCCTATACCGCAATTCAAAATATTACATATGTTCAGGGCACCTATTTTATGGATCTTGTGAGACAGCATGGTGAAATTCTTGACTTCGTGCAGGTCTGGTGTTGATTCAAATACTGCTTGCCTGCAGGGCTTTTTAAATTTGATTTATACTTTAATTTATTACAACAAATTATAAGAGGTTTGAAAAATGCTAGTTTTTCTGTACGCATGTCACTACAGTTCTTCTCTTCCATTGGTGGGTGGGAAAGGTAAGACGTTTGGTAATACAAACTCTAATAATTTCCCTTTAGGGAGTAATTGATTCCTTAGACTCACATAACATGTAAAATTGGAAAGTGAAGCTTTGGGAAAATTATTCTCCTGCCCATTGTAGTTTGCTGTAAGTACTGTTTAATTGAGCTTATTTGTTTATAAAAGCAAAAGAAAGGCATTGATCCAAAATTCCTTGAAGCCTGAAGTTATATAAATTCTTAATCAAATATTTGTTTGTGGCAATGTATTTGTATGTAGACAAATCGATGTAGTTCTCTAGGTGTGTTACTGCATATATTGAAACACACAAATTTTTACTACGCTAAAAGATCATTCTTGTACATGGGTTGTGGCAACTATTTAAAAATAAAAAGCCCATCCCTTAAATCTGTGTAAAGCAATTTTAAATATTCACCCAGTGGCCAAAGTGAGACCTTGGGAGTCTCATTAAGGGAGCGCACAGGGGAATCCTGGAAAGCAGCTTTCCATTTATGAGAGCTGATGTTGCAGCAGACATGGTACGTATTTGGTGGGATGGTCCCCTCTGGTTCCTGCTTCTGTATGGGGCAGATGTGTCTCAAATCCCACCTTCTGCCCCTGCACAGACACACCTTGGTGCAAAGCAGCTGTTCCTCCTCCCTGGTAGAGAGCCCGTGGTAGGAGAGGGAGTATTTCAGGTGTTCCCCATAGCAGTGATGCAGAGCCTGGGGCAGCCTGGTCAGTAGTGGGAGAGGTCAGACAGCTGAGTAGACCTGTCCTCTTGGGCTAAGTCCATCCCACAGTGCAGCAGTTGGGTATAATAAAATACAATAATTTTCTAATAGCGCAGAATGGGTTGTCCATAATATTACAATAATAAATGGTAGCCTGCAGAAAGTCCACAAAATAGCCAATAATCTCTCTGAGCATAGGAGATGAATGCTTCTTTTTAATTAATTTTAATTATTGTGCATCTAACGTCATCTACTTCCCACAGAAACAGTACGTTACTCTGCCCATGATTGAATAAGTTCAAGTGATAATGAACCCAGTGGCAGACTAGGCTGACAAGTTAGGCAGTGCCTAGCAGGGATAGCTCAGTTTCTGCATTTTTATGGCATCTGCAATATGTCTTTGGGCCACCTCCATCTTTCCTGGATCCTCATTGACCACACTTAGACATCTATCTTCTCAACTAATGAGGAGGAAAGTGGGCTTTCTCACCATGTAGACTTTGTGGGTGGTTCCCCAAAGGAAGTGGGAGGAGGGGAAGCACAGCTCTGTTTTAGCTGAGGAATGAGTTTTAAACTAAAACCATACCAAAAATCTGAACAGACTTTTTTTTTTTTTTTTTTTTTTTTTTTTAAAGAGGAAACTTTCCTAGCAATTTTTAGAAATTAAAATTACAGTAATTGACATAGTGTAATGGCACCCCTCTTCATTTCCTGCTGCTCACGGGAAGAGGGAAGGATAATTACTGCTCTGGAACATGGCAGTTGCCAAAAGAGATGTCTTTGTTTCTTATTCTGTAAGCCCACTTGACCCATCCCTCAAAGGTCAGTAAATTATGTTTCTTAGGAGCACAAAAATGGGTAATAAACCCCTATTTGCATGTATAAGGTTTTTTCTCCTGATGGCATCAATTTATTCGTGCTTTAAGTGGACTTCCTTCTCACAGGAAGAATCATTTCTCTCTTTCTTCCTGTGTTTATGAAGTTGTTCTTTTTATGTGATTAGAGTAAAATTCTCATTTTGGGGCAGCAAGATCCAATTCTTCTCTTTATGGGAGAATAATTTTTTGGCAATAATATCTGCATAAACTGCATATATGTATGTGTGTGTGTGTAATGACTCTAGTTATTTGAGCTTCTATTTTTACAGGGTCCTTATCATGGTAGATGCTGTATAAGCACAGCTATTAGATTCTGCCACCCTGAGGATCTTGCAGGCTAAGCAAACAACAACAGGCTATTCTGAATGATAAGTAACGATGAGTTTTTAATGCAGCAGGTGTTTTTCATGCTGGAAGTCCACAGCTCAGTTTGAAACTTGCTTCAACATTTGGGAGAGCTTGTGGGGTGTATTTTTCTGAAATGCAAAATTGAATTTCTCACAGTCAAAATACAGCTTTTGCCCCCAAAACCGGAGCTTTTTATTTATGCATTTATCTTATTGACTCTAACATCTTATCTTAGAACTCATCCCAGCTCCTAATGTTCCAGTCTGGCTGGTATATCTTAGGAAATCAAGCCTTAGCTTTGGTGATAATGTATCTTGCATGTGTAGTAGTAATTGCTGTGTCTTTTCAAGGTCATTTGGTATGCAGCTACTTCTGTGAAAAGTGTTATTTCAATAATGTCAACTTTGTTTTAAATGACTGTGCATCCATTAGAAGCCATATTCTAATCAACCCACTCCTCTGTTCCTAGGGCTGTCAATATGGAGCATTTAAATCACATGGCTATTTTTTCTTGACTTTAAGTGTGGGCTTTTGTTTGTTTTGTGGGTTTTTATAAGGCAGTTATTAAAGCAATTTTCCCAAGACAATTTTTTTTTTTTTTCTTTTTCTGCATGTTTGGGGT